TCAAAACAGTACAGTACTGGCACAAAAATAAACACATAGGTTAATGCACCATAATAGGAAACCCAGAAATAAACCCACAATGATATGGTCAATTAATGCTTGACAAAGCAAGAAAGGGTACCCAAAGGGAAAAAGACAGCCTCTTCAACAAATGGTGTTGGGAAAACTGGACAACATACAAAAGAATGAAATTGCACCACTTCCTTACACCATATGCAAAAATAAATTCAAAATGGATGAAAGACCTAAACATGAGACCTTAAACCACAAAAATCCTAGAGGAGAACACAGGCAGTAACTTCTTGGACATTGGCTGTAACAACTTCTTTTCAGATAGGTCTCCTGAGGCAAGAGAAAGAAAAGCAAAAATAAACTCTTTGGACTATATCAAAATAAAAAGCTTCTGCATAGTGAAAGAAACCATCAGGAAGACTAAACATCAACCTGTGGAATGGGAGAAGGTATTTGTAAATGATATATCCAAGAAAAGGTTAGTATGAAAATATATAAAGAACTTATAGAACTCAACACCCCAACACAAATGATCCAATTAAAAACCGGGCAGAAGACATGAACAGACATTTCTCCAAAGAAAATATCGAGATAGCCAAAGATGATGTTCAACATCACTTATCATCAGGGAAATGCAAGAAGATATCACTTCACACCTGTCAGAATGGGTAAAATCAACAACACAAGAAATAACAGGTATTGGCATGGATGTGAAAAAAGGGCTACCCTCTTGCACTGTTGGTGGGAATGCAAACTGGTGTAGCCACTCTGGAGAACAGTATGGAGGTTCCTCAAAAAGCTAAAAACAGAGCTACCCTATGATCCAGCATTCATGCTCCTGGGTTTTTATCCAAAGACTGTAAGAACAGTAGTTCAAAGGGATGTATGCATCCCTAGGTTTATAGCAGTATTGTTTAAAATAACCAAGATATGGAAGCAGTCCAAGGGTCTATCAACTGATAAATGGATAAAGATGTGGCATATATACACAATGGGATATTATTCAGCCATAAAAAAGAATGAAATCTTGCCATTTGCAATGACATGGAAGGAGCTAGAGAGTATAATGTTAAACAAAATAAGTCAAAGACAGATACCATATGTGGAATTTAAGAAACAAAACAAGCAAAGGGGAAGAAATAGCAGAGAAACAAAGCAAGAAATAGACTCTTAAGGGGTGCCTGGGTGGCTCAGTTAGTCAAGCATCTGACTTCTACTCAGGTCATGTTCTTGCAGTCTGTGAGTTTGAGCTCGCATTGGGCTCTGTGCTGACAGCTCAGAGCCTCGAGCCGGCTTCAGATTCTGTGTCTCCCTCTTTCTCTCTCTGCCCCTTCCCCGCTTGCATTCTCTCTCTCTCAAAAAATAAATAAACATTAAAGCAATAAAAAAAAAAAAAAAACAGACTCTTAATTATAGAGAACAATCTGATTGTTACCAGAGGATAGGTGAGTGGGGAGACAGGTTAAATAAGTGATGGGAATTAAAGAGTGCACTTTTCATGATGAGCATCAGGTAGTGTATTTAACTGTTGAATCACTATATTGTACACCTGAAACTAATATTACACTGTATGCTAACCGGAGTTAAAGTAAAAACTTAAAAAAAAACAAAAAAAAACAAAACCCAGACTCTTAAATATGGAGAACTGGTGAAGGGATAGGTGTAATAGTTAAAGGGGATTAAGATGTACAAACTTCTGGTTATAAAGTAAGTCATAAAAATGAAGAGTACAGTATAGGGAGTAAACTCAAGTTAGTAATATTGTAATTACATTGCATTGTAACAGATGGTGGCTACATTTATCCTGGTGAACACCAAGTAATGTATACAATCGTCCAGTATGTTGTGCACCTGAAACTAATATAACATTGTGTGCTGTACTTCAATTAAATAACACTCCTTGTTCAATCCTTCTCTAAGCTGTGGTTGGCTTAGATATCAGCAGACCTCCCTTTGGTGCTATGGAAAGATACATGAGATAATGTGTTTGAAATTATGAGTTCCAGTAGTGCTGGATTCACATCTAGCTCTCCTTCTCTTCCACACATAAGGAAGACAGGCCTCCTTGCAACTAGACAGAGCCGTGTGCCTAGTTCTGGGCCACCTGCAGGCAGAGGTGGTAGTCATCCCACACACCCCTCTGTCTTTTCCTGGGCATGCGATCCTGCCGAAGGCTTTGTGTTTTTAGGGACAGAACTGCAAGATTAAAACCACCAGATTCCGGGTTGCAATAGGAGGAAAGCTTCCTTAAAGAAGCAATTACATCACCCCAAATCCCTTGTTGCATTAAGCCACTGAATTTGTGGGTGTGTTACTCTAAGATAACATAGCTTATGCCAATTCAAAAGGCAATGAGAAAATGCTACACATTATTTTCACACTTTTTCCATCACCAATAGTTAATACGTGGTATTCCACTTATGTGTTTAGTGAAGTAGCCCAGGCACATTAGTCTCTCATTTTCTTGATAATTTTGTTTTTGGCTGGAAGGCTTCATCCCAACCCTCCCCCCTGACCTTGGAGGAATTACATTAGCCCAAACTCTTCAGTTGAGAACTATCCCTATCCTGTTGAAAAATGTTTATACTTTACTAATGGTGAGAAAAGAGTACCAGCTGCTCTGTAAACAGAATAGGATTTCCAGATAGATCATTGGTTGATAAAATCTAGGGAAATACATAAGCCAATAATTAACTACTTTGTCTATTTTTATTATTTCTTGGTTGGTGCTCCCCACCCCCCCCAGTAGACAAGGTAGCATAGTATGAATTATCTAGATCATGGAAAGTGAAACTTGTTTCCTGGGGAAAGTTTGACTAGGATGAGCAGTGTGATTGAATGTAATTACACGTCCTGGATTGCTGTCACACTCCACTAGACACTGTTTGTATCATGTTTTGCAGAAATGGAGCCTTTTGTGCTCAAGGAACACACTTAACTGTGCAGCGTGGCAAGCCCCAATCAAGTCCTGTGCCTCAGTTTCCTCATGGTACAATGGGGCTATCACATCCTTCCCAGGCCTTTGGAAAAGATTTGCTTTGTACTCAATAGTTACACTTTATTGTGGGTAAATATAGTTTCCAAAGAACACACACAAAGAATACAAGCTTCAAAAGAGCCCAGGATCAGCGACAGGCTGTAATAAAGGTTCTGATTGATGAAACACCACATAAAATGCTCAGAGGTTGGCAAACTACCTCCCTGGGACCAGATGTGGCCTCCTGTTTATTTCTGTAAATAAAGTTTCATTAAAACACAGTCAAGCTCATTCATCTTACATAATGTTTATGGCTGTTTTCACAGTACAACAGCGGAGTTGAGTAGCTGTGGCCCACGAAGGCCATGAATCTGTGTTTCTGGCAAGTCCCACCCAGCTGATGCTGATGTTGCTTTCCTGGAGACCACAGCTGAGAACCATAAGACTAGGGATTACAGTTGGCAAGACATGTTGATGAGACAAATTCCAATGGAAATGCTACAGAATGGGCACCAGCTGTGCATGGAGCTGTTCTCCAACTTCCAGAACAGGGATAGGGGAGATAGGCACTTCAGAGACTTTTCTCTAGGACTCTGACTCAGTTTAAAAACAAACAGGGGCCCCTGGGTGGCTCAGTCGGCTGAGTGTCCAACTTCGGCTCAGGTCATAATCTCGCGGTGAGTTCAAGCCCTGCGTGGGCCTCTGTGCTGACAGCTCAGAGCCTGGAGCCTGCTTCGGATTCTCTGTCTCCCTCTCTCTCTGCCCCTCCCTGCTCATGCTCTGTCTCTCCCTCTCTCTCTGCCCCTCCCCTGCTCACTCTCTGTCTCTCCCTCTCTCTCAAAACTAAACATTAAAAAAATTTAAAAACAAACAAAAAAAAGTGAGCGGGGAGCCTAGGTGGCTCAGTAGGTTGAGCGCTGGACTATCGATTTTGGCCCAGGTCATGATCTCACAGTTGTGAGATTGAGCCCCATGTTGGGCTCTGTGCTGACAGTGCAGAGCCTGCATGAGATTCTCACTCTCTCCCTCTCGCTCTCTCAAAATAAATAAACTTTTAAAAAAAAGTGGATATCCCAGGGCTACACAGAACCAAGCTACTAATGCTATAGTCATTAATTCGTGCTGCACACATACTTGAGGAACTCAGTAAATAGTTGGCATAAAAGAACCCCTCCCCTTGTAGGGGTATGGAAATCCTATAAATCTATAGCACCCAAGGCCAAACATTCCTTAAGTACAGTCAGCAGGTACTAACATGCAGCTATATAACTGATAAATTCTAGATGAACATTAATCTGGTATTACTTCTTGATGGCTGCCCACTACTTGAGCTCTGGGAACTGGTCTCTTGGAGATACAGAAAAGCCTGCCTATCACTGCTTGGCTTTTTGTTTTGTTTTTACTTACCCACCTGTCCCCCTATATCTGCTGCCTTGGGACATCAGTTAACTTGTGTAGAGATTGTTACAACAGAAGCCACTTGGCATAAATGGGGAAATATGGTAGGTGGAAGAGTCACACCCAGGTAGGGAATGGAACGGAGATTGCCCACAGGCCTTGTTAAAATATTCTGCTGCAGGGGCTCCTGGGTGGCTCAGTCGGTTAAGTGTCTGACTCTGGATTTTGGCTCAGGTCATGACCTCACAGTTGTGAGATCGAGCCCCATGTTGGGCTCCACGCTGACAATATCAAGCCTGAGATTCTCTCTCTCTCTCCCTGTCTCTCTCTCTCTCTCTCTCTTTCTCTCTCAATAAAAGCTCAAAAACCCGCGGGGGGGGGGGCGGGGCTGGGTGGCTCAGTTGGTTAGCATCTGACTTCAGCTCATGTTATGATCTCTTGGTTCGTAAGTTCAAACCCCATATTGGGCTCTCTGCTGCCAGCACAGAGCCCACTTTGGATCCTGTTTCTCCCTCTCTCTCTCCCTGCCCCTTCTCTGCTCTCTCTCTCAAAAATAAATAAACATTAACAAAATTCTGCAAAGAAGAAAAGCCAGAGTCTTCTTACCTGTGAGGCTTCAGAATAGGAAGTAAGATCCTGCTGTTGTTGCTTAGTCTGGAAAATTCTCTTCTCACAGGCACACAGCCAGGAGGATTAGGGTGAAAGAGGAGGTTTCTGATCCCACTGTCCTGTATCCATCAGACCTGGTGTTTCAGGCTGGGCTTCGGTTCTTTGGAAGAAAGCTCTTCAGGGACAGCCAAAGAAGGCTAGAATTCACCGAGGGCTCCCCTTCCCCTGCCCTCCAGACGCTGCTCTGCTCTTCACTCCTACAGTGTGGGGCTCTTCAGACTTAGAGCAAACAGCTGTCCTGTAGGCTCCGTGGGGATCACCAATGCAGCACGCCTCTGGTTGAAATTGGCCCAGTCACGCCGGTCACATGTGAAACATGATGGCAATTAGGGGGCGGCTGACCAGTTGTCTGAGGACTGACCAATCAGGGAGGAGGTTTTGCAAGTAAAACTCCAGAGCGTTCCTCTTTCAGCCCAGCTGAGAGTACTTCTTGCTTCGGGGTTTGTCTCTTTCCCAGGGCCTGAGAGGACCTAGAAGGTGGAGATACCAAGTAAACTAAGAAGGGAAACTTAGAGGCCTGGATATTAGAGTCTCTGCTTCCTCTTTGTTCTCTCCAGAGGATTTCTGCTTATCCTGCAGAATTCAGGTTAAGACCATCTTCCTCCTCATCTCTGAGGAGTGTTTCCTGACCTTCCCTTCAGGGCTTGTCTTTTCCCTCTTTGGTTTCTAGAACACACCTCGATCACAGCACTTTTCACATTGCTCAAATTGCTTGGTTACGTGTCTCTTTTTGCCCCTTAACCGTATGTGCTTTTATTTTACTTATTTAAAAACACTTAATACATTTTAACTCTTGAGTACTTAACAATACTAACTCAGTGAATCTTCGTTCCTTGTTATTTCCAGCTTTATTGAAATGTAATCAAGATATAACATTCTGTAAGTTTAAGGTGTACAACATGATTTGATACACATACTTTGTAAAACAATAACCACAGTAGGGTTAGTTAACATTTCCTTCACATCACCTGTGTGTATGTGTGTGTGTGTGTTGAGCACATTTGCGATTTACTGTGTTAGCAACTTTCATGTATATAATACAGTATTATTAACTGTAGTCACGTTGGTATACTTTAGATCCCCAGAACTTTATCTTCTATTTTTTTTTCAACGTTTATTTATTTTTGGGACAGAGAGAGACAGAGCATGAACGGGGAAGGGGCAGAGAGAGAGAGGGAGACACAGATTCGGAAACAGGCTCCAGGCTCCGAGCCATCAGCCCAGAGCCTGACGCGGGGCTGGAACTCACGGACCGCGAGATCGTGACCTGGCTGAAGTCGGACGCTTAACCAACTGCGCCACCCAGGCGCCCCGTGAGAACTTCATCTTCTAATGGTAAGATTGTACTCTTTGACCAACATTTCCCCATTTCCTTCACCCCTCAGACTCTGTCAACCACCCTTCTGTTTTTCTGAGTTCAGCTTTTTTTTTTCTTGATTCCACAGATAAATGAGATCATTCAGTGTTTTTCTCTGACATTTCACTTAGAATTAACACCTTCAGCATCCATCCATGTTGTTGCCAATAGCAGGGTTTCCTTCTTTCTAAGGCTGAATAACATTCCCTGGTAAATATATACCAAATCTTATTTATCCCTTTATTCATTGTCAGACTCTTAGTTTGTCTCCATGACTTAGCTACTGTAAATACTGTGCCATGAACTGGAAATGTAGATGCCTTTTTGAGTTACTGCTTTTTTTCTTCACTTAAATATCCAGAAGTGGAATTGCAGGATCCTATAGTAGTACTGTATTTTATTTTATTTTATTTTATTTTATTTCATTTCATTTTTTAATTTTTATTTTGTTGTATGTTATTTTTAAGGAACCACCATATTATTTTTTGATAGTGACTGCACCAATTTACATTCCCACCAAGAAGAATTGTGCACAAGAATTCCCTTTACTCCACATCCTTCTCAGCATTTCTTATCATTTGTCTTTTTGATAGTAGCTATTCTAACAGGTGTGAGATGATATTGTGGTTTTGATGTGTGTTTTCCTGATGATGAGTGATGTTGAGCACCTCTTCATGTACCCCTTGGCCATCCATATTCTTCTTTGGAAAAATGTCTATTTGAGTCCTTTGGTGATTTTTAATCAGATTACAAATATTTTTTGTTATTGGGTTGTATGAGTCCCATACATATTTTGAATATTAATCTCCTATAAGATGTACGGTGTGCAAATATTTTCTCCTGTTCTAACAGATTGCCTTTCCATTTTGTGGGTTTTTTCTTTTGCTTTGCAGAAGTTTTTTATTTGATGTAGTCCCATCATTTATTTTTGCTTTCATTGTGCTTTTGGTGATATATCCAAAGTCGTTGTCAAGACCCATGTGAAGGAACTTTTCCACTATATTTTCTTCTAAGAGTTTTACAGTTTTAAGATTTTACATTCAAGCTTTAATCCATTTCAAGTTAATTTTTGTGAGTGGTGTAACAATGAAGTCCAATTAAATTCTTTTGCATGTGAACATGTTTTCCCAGTACCACTTATTTTTTTTTCATATTTATTTATTTTTGAGAGAGAGAGAGAGAGCACGAGCGGGGGAGGGACAGAGAGAGGGAGACACACAATCCGAAGGAGGCCCCAGACTCTGAGCTGTCAGCACCGAACCCATCACAGGGCTGGAACCCACAAACTGTGAGATCATGACCTGAGCTGAAGTTGGACGCTTAACTGAGCCACCCAGGCGCCCTTTCCCAGTACCACTTATTGAAGATACTATCTTTTCTCCATTGAGTATTTCTGGCTCCTCTGTCAAATATTAGTTGAATGTATGATGGAAAGTTTTATTTCTGAACTCTTGATTCTGTTCATTAGTCTGTGTGTCTGTTTTTATGCCCGTACCATAAAGTTTTATTATTAAAGTTTTGTAATATAGTTCGAAATGAGGAAGTATTATACTTCAAGCTTTGTTCTTTCTCAAGATTGCTTTGGCTATTTGGACTCTTTTGTGGTTCCATACAAATTTTAGGATTTTTTTTTTCTATTTCTGTGAAAAATGTCATTGGAATTTTTAAAAGCTGTTATTTATATTCCAGCTAGTCAACATACAGTGTAATATTAGTTTCAAGTGTAAAAGGTAGTGATTCAATAGTTCTGTACATCACTCTGTGCTCATCACAAGTGCATTCTTCATCCCCATCACCTATTTAATCCATCCCCACATCATCCTCCCTTCTGGTAATGTTCTCTATAATTAAGAGTCTGTTTCTTGGTTTTCCTCCCTCTCTCTCTCTTTTTTTCCCCTTTGCTTGTTTGTTTTGTTTCTTAAATTCCACTTATGAATGAAATCATATGGCATTTGTCTTTTTCTGACTGATTTATTTTGCTTAACATGATATTCTCTAGTTCTATCCATGTCCTTGGAAATGGAGAGATTTCATTCTTTTCTTATGGCTGAGTAATAGTTCATTTTATATATATATATATATATATATATATATATATATGCCACATCTTCTTTATCCATTCTTCAGTTGATGGATATTTGGACTGTTTCCATAATTTGGCTATTATAGATAATGTTGCTTTAAACATCAGGGTGCATGCATCCCTTTGAATTAGTATTTTTGTAGTCTTTGGGCAGATACCTAGTAGTGTGATTATTGGATTATAGGATAGTTCTATTTTTAAGTTTTTGAAGAAACTCTGTGCTGTTTTCCAGAGTGGCTGTACCAGTTTGCATTCCCACCAACAGTGCATGAGTGTTCCTTTTTTTCCATGTCCTTACCAAAACCTGTTATTTCTTGTGTTAGTGGTTTTAGCCATTCTGACAAGTATGAGATGATATCTTATTTGTGGTTTTCATTTGCCTAATGATAATTGATGTCAAACATCTTTTCATGTGTCTGTTGGTCATCTGGATATCTTCTTTGGAAAAACATCTGTTCATATCTTCTGCCCATTTTTAAATTGAATTACTCATTGTTTGCATGTTGAGTTTTATAAGTTCTTTATACATTTTGGATACTAGCCCTTTATCAGATATGTCATTTGCAAATATCTTCTCCCATTCCATAGGTTGACTTTTAGTTTTGTTGATTGTTTCCTTCACTGTGCAGAAGCTTTTTATTTTTATGTAGTCCTAAGAGTTTATTTTTTATTTTGTTTCCCTTGCCTCAGGAGACATATCTGGAAGGAAGTTACTATGGCTGATGTCAAAGAAGTTACTGCCTCTAAATTCTCCTCTAGGATTTCTATGGCTTCAGTTCTCATGTTCAGGGCTTTCATCCATTTTGAATTTATTTTTGTGTTTGGTGTAAGGAAGTGGTCCAGTTTCATTCTTTTACGTGTTGCTGTCCAATATCCCAACACCATTTGTTGAAAAGACTGTCTTTTTCCCATTGGATAGTCTTTCTTGCTTTGTTGAAGATTAATTGACTGGGGCGCCTGGGTGGCTCAGTTAGTTGGGCATCTGACTTCAGCTGAGGTCATGATCTCATGGTTTGTGGATTCAAGCCCCATGTCGGGCTCTGTGTTGACAGCTCAGAGCCTGGAGCCTGCTTCAGATTCTGTGTCTCCTTCACTCTGTGCTCCTCCCCCACTCATGCTCTGTGTCTCTCTGTCTCAAAAAAAAAAAATTAGTTGACCATATCATTATGGGTTTATTTCTGGGTTTCCTATTATGTTCCTTTGATCTATGTGTTTATTTTTGTGCCACTACCATATTGTTTTGATTCCTATAGCTTTGTAATATAACTTGAAGTTCAGAACTGATGCCTCCAGCTTTGCTTTTCTTTTTCAAGATGGTTTTGGCTATTCAGGGTCTTTTGCAGTTCCATGAAAATTTTAGGATTGCTTGTTCTAGTTCGGTGAAAAATGCTAGTGGTATTTTGATAGGGAGTGCATGAAATGTGTAGATTACTTTGTGTACCATAGACATTTTGACAATATTTGTTCTTCCAATCCATGAACATGGAATGTCTTTTTATTTCCTTGTGTCATGTTGAAATTTATCAGTGTTTTACAGTTGTCAGAACACAGGTCTTTCATCTCTGATTAGGTTTATTCCTAGGTGTCTTATTGTTTTTGTTGTAATTGTAAATGGGATTGATTCCTTAATTTCTCTTTATGCTGCTTCATTACTGGTGTATAGAAATGCAACAGATTTCTGTATGTTGATTTTATATCCTGCGACTTTACTTAATTCATGTTTCAGTTCTGTAATCTTTTTTGTGGAGTCTTTGTGTTTTTCTATATATAGTGTCATATCATCTGTAAATAGTGAAAGTTTTACTTTTTCCTTACTGATCTGAATGTCTTGTATTTCTTTTTATTGTGTGATTATTGTGGCTAGGATTTCCAGTACTATGTTGAATGAAAGTGGTGAGAGTGGATATCCTTGTCTTGTTCCTGATGTTA